AGATATCCTGACATTGAGCCGGCATAGGAGTCTTACGCTCTTCAAGCGTAAACCCAAGAAGACTTACGAGTTGCATGGCTGCTAACCTGCCCTCGGCAGCAGCTTGTTGGAAATCTGCCCAAAACAGATCATCGACATATCGCGGACAGGGGATTAGGAGCAACTCCTGCAGAATTGCTGCGATGGCTGCTCCGAGCCGATCCCAAGCAAAAACCGGTCCAACCCCACCAAACGGCATGGCCAGCTGCGTGGAAGAGCGAACGACCCCATCCAAGTCACGGAATATGACTCGGGACAGGTCCAAGTGACTAGCCTGGATTGGGATCGAGCGATACGCAGCCTTGAAATCCGATTTGAGCAGGGCCAAGGGCTCTCCAGTAGCAGCGAGCTCGCGCACTACGAACTCCAAGTCTGAAATCCTGCCCATCCGGATCTTTCGGGTGACAGAACAAGCATCATTTACCCGCGACTGCTTGAAATCATCAATGCAACGGACCTTTGCCATCCCTTTCGAATCGACTTGGGAGACACCAAACCTCCGAGTGACAACGCCCGGTTCTTGTGAAGCAGCTAAGACTGGCTCTGTCATGCGTCTCAACTTGACTTCATCCATGGTCTGACGATAAATTTCCGCATCGAGGTCTGAAGAGGTTTGGGAATGACGACGGAGTTGCTGATGCCATGCTGCACGACCCCATGCTTTCAGCTCATGTACAGACAGCTTGCTTTTCCGAACTGAGGAGGGCGCAGCCTCCGCATCAGTGGGGATGTGACCCACCAGAAGGCCATTCTGGAGATGTTTGACCAGATCCGAATCATGCCATCCAATTTGGTTGAGACACCATTCCAGCAGACCTAGATTGGGACCATTTCGACCAGCTGCGAACAACACGTCACGAGCATGCGGGGCTGCTGCCGCTAGCAGCTCATCAGAGCGACCAGCCAGCTTTCGAGATTGTTCCCGCAGCATGGTCATCTGCTGGGCTCTAAATGCCACGAGGCCACGACCACCGAAGAGGCACGCTCGTTTCGTGCACTTGGCCAACCTGTTTGGGCACATAGGCATAGCAACCAACCTGGGAAAGGCCTCTTGTGCAGCAGCCACATGCGCAAGTTGCGCATGCTTCAGAGCAGGTTCGGATGAAGAGACTGGGATGGGCACGTCCAGAACAACATCATGCCGACAACCAGTATCAAAGCATGATGAGGCATCCGAGCCGCTGCCAGAGCTACTGCCAGAATCACACGTTGAGGCACAGTCCCCCTGAACAGATGTTTTCAGCACCCGTCAGCCCGGGTGCTGGGGACTGACGGGCGTGCCCCCCCATCCTGGGGGGCGTGAGAGAGCTCTGAAGTTCCTGCATCGAGGCCGATTTCGGGAAACCCTTGTCGAGGACCAAAGGTTTCTGGGCAAGCACGAAGGAGCACCAATTCGACAGAACATGTTGGACTACAGGAACTGCGAAGGTGTTTCCCGTGACAGACATGTGCTCCAGAGAAAATGGCAGCCCCTCATCGTTAGGAAGGGCCGAGGCGCCTGCAGGGAAGCCCAACGCCCTGTCACGCTCAGCTCCCGACAACGGTCGCAAGAGATTGGATCCTTGCTCCGTGTGAATCCATTTCGCTAGCTTGCCCCTGGCAAGGTTGGCATCTGAACCTTTGCGTCGAAGCGACCTGCGGCTACAACTAACATCAACACCCTCTGCAACCTTTGTCGTCAACAATTGGCGCGGGCTATCAGACAGATTTGCCTTGTAGACCAATCCTCTTCGGGAATACGAATGCAACGACAATCGCGCAAAGGTTTTGTGCTCAGGCATGACCTCATGGGGATGTCCTTGCGCAAACCCTCGGCAGAATGTTGAAAACCTCATGTCTGGAGCCGGTATGCCAGTCGGGAACTCCCATAGTGGACGCCATCCGGGTTCCAACACTGCAGCTACATCGATTGCCGCTGCAGACAGAGGCTCCACGCTCAGATTTGTCCAGAAACATCTTTCACGCTCGCAAGGAAGCACTAGGGATGCTTTGAGGCAATGAGACTCCACCCCAAAGCAGTGCGAGATTGCATTTCGCTGGGCCTTGTCCGCAGGGCTGAAATCCATCGGGACGTTTTCAAGCATGAACACCACATGAGTACCAGGGAAGGCTTCTTTCAAGCGGGAGAGTAAGAATGGGAAGACAACCAGTTTGCTGGACTCCGGATCGCGGACTCCCAACCTACTCTCCTTAGCAACCGAGAATCCAACGCAAGGCGACCCTCCAGCCACCAAGATGGACTTGAGGGATTTGAAGCGCTTGATAAACTCAACGAGTGATTCCACCTTTTCACAAATGGCGAACGCCGAACCAACCACTCCCTTTGAATCAGCCATTTGAGACAACCAGACTCCTGCTCGTGAATGATGATGTACCAAGAGCTGTCGACATCGGTCATCGACCTCAAACATCAACACTTGAACCTTCGTGCCGAAGACCGACCCGAGACCTGAGTCCAGGAGGGCTTGCAAGAGTCCTCCCATGCCAGAGAAAAGATCGATCACCACATGTTCCACTGATGCAAAGGAAGCATTCATGGGCAAACTGGTTTGTGGTACCGGGGTAAGATTCGTGGCAACCTCCCTGGGCCCTTCCCCATCAAAGAACCCAGGAGGCTCGATTTGTCAAGACCGGTCTGCCGCTTTGCCACGGCGCGTCTTGAAGGACTTGAGGGCAGCTGCATAGCGCTCAGCCGACCGAGGATCCGTGGTATCAAGGTGCAGCATCCTACACGTTGAACGCTCAGGGCAGGTCAATCCCTGGGCAGGGTCATGCCTGAAACAGATGGGCATACGTCCAGGCTGTGATGTAGCAGGCTCCCGGACATCACCAGTCTTGCCCTTGTCCAAACGAGGTTCGCGAGGATCCGGGACGTTGGCAACCTTTTCGGATTCATCGGCTTTGGCGGTAGTGCTTGATGTCCAATTTGTGGGTGAGCCGCCTCAACGGTCGATGCAAGAGCTCACTGAAACTAAATTTCTCGGAGCCCCTGGTGAGTGACTGGAGTTCATAGTGTAGCTCTCGCTCGTAGCGGATGGCATACACCAACTCATGCTCAGCATTCGTTCGTATCAGCAAAAGCAAGTGGGCAAAGACATTTTGGAACTGCACAACACCGACTACAGCATGCGCCAACCAGAAGTTGGAGACAAGGCTGAGGAACTTCGGAGTATCGAGGTTCTCAGTTTTACGCCACTGCTTCACCTGTGCCTCACGAGCTACTGGAGACTCGCCGTGGCCCACCCACAAAGGGACCCAAGATTCCATGGTCCTGGTGCTTGCGAACATCACGAGCTTTGATTAGAAGCTTTTGCAACCTGGCCAGAAGCTGAGTCGAAGGGAACCAATCTGCGGGTAAGAAGCTGTGCGATGCCTTGGAAAGGGCCGAGGCAAGATCAAACTTTTCGACATCTTCATCATCAGACTCATGTTCTCGAAGGATGGAGCTGCGAGACGCTCGAGTTGGACCCTTAGCAATGCGCTCCAATGCTGCTGCCAGCTGCGAGTTCACGCGAAGTTGTTCAACTGCGAAATCACTCTGCTGGACCCCAGTAGCTGCATGTTTAGCTGCCACTTGACCATGTTGTGACTGCCATGCGAGGGCCATGAGGCGACGAGCCAGAGTAGAATGCAAGATGTCAACATTGATTTCCTGATGAAGACCAGTCGGTTGAGCGAAAAGTTGGGAGAGCTCCTCCGTAGTGAAGCCCAGCAGACGACCAGGCGAAGTGACACCCAGAGACACCAATCGTTCAACAACCTTAGTGATCTGAGGACAAGATGCTTGATGTATATCGTGTGCGGCGACCCAATTCATGAGGTTCTCTTTCGCGCGCTCTGCGGAATAGTCGGCTGCACCTGGCAGCTCGAAGAACCATGTCGTTTCATTCTTGTTGACGGGTGATTGATGACCAGATGCTCGAGGTAGTTCCGGTCGCGAAGGTGATGAGTTCGGCAATCGACGATCCTGACGTGGTGAAGCGCTTCGCCTTGGAGTTGGACGTCGAGGGGAAGGAGAGGCCCGCCTTCGTTTGGGCTCACGGGAGTCACCGCGACTATCGGAAGGGCGACGGCGGCGGCCACGAGATTGGGAGGGGACACGAGATAGCGGCCCGCCATGAAGTCGCCGTGCGGTGCTGTCGCTACGGGGCATGGTAGAGAGAAGAACAAAACTATCTCTAAGAGATCGGCCTTGAAAGGAAACATAGAGGAATGGAAACATGTGAGCACGATGTCCTTCGAAAAGTTTTGTAACAACACACAGCCTGTGTTGGCAACAAAAACGCTGCAAAATCTTCGCGTGGCTATGAGAGAGTAGTACACTGCTAGTACACAAAAGTTGCTGATCGTCATGGTGCACGACAAATGCGTTGAGTAGGATGACGGGTACATGCATGGTACCTGCATCGAAAATGGAAGGGCGTCCCGCCATTCTATGACATCTTGCAAAATGACTGAAAATCCACTTTCGAAGCAACATCGTACCCAACAAAACGATGAGAATCGCACATGCGACGCCTGCAACCGTTCAGTTGAAAAGCCCGATCACAATAAATCGCCAATGACAGCAGAGAAGAAATTGTGTTCACCGGAACTCCTTGAGGCAGAGATAGGCAGAGCAGCTCTGGACACACAAAAAGACAAACCGCGACGAGCCTCGTACTGCGGCCCGCATGTTAAGGACCAAAATCACAGACCTTCAAGAATCACACCAATGGCAATAAATCGCAACAGACTCCAGAGTCTAGAGATTCCCGGCCTGCGTGACACGGGAGAAGCTTTCGATTGGTGCTCCTGAAGCCCTGCTCTGGTTTTCTTGTCTGCGGACTTTGCCCACGAAGGTGTGTGCCGTGTGTAACAACCAAACCTGCTCGAGCCAAGTTTAGCGAAAGCCATCACTGCAGCTGCCTCTCCCACTGCAGCCACCTGTCACCACTCCCCTTCACCATGCCCATCCGCTCCTCGATACGCTCATCCGGAGAGCCACGGCTACTGCTCCGACTCCCACCACGACCTGAGCAAAGGAGACCGAGCAGCACAGTACGCAGTTGCTCCAAAGCACATAAATGGCTTGATTGGCAGCACACTTGCATGTGCCTGTTTATCCACTTTCGGGCAAGCTTTGACGAGGGTTCACTCCAAAGATCTCGAAAGTGTCCTTACTACGACTCAGAGCTGACAATCCAAGTAACGGCTTTCCGTCCTCATCGAAACGGAGCTGCTGCTCCTGGGCCAAGAAAGAGACGCGGAAAACAAAGCATGCACCACGTTGTGTGGTATCGATATGCCAATAGCATCAATAGTTCTCTTCCAAAGTGTCCTTACCTAGTGTCTTGAAGGCTTCACCCTTTCAACTGTGCTTGGGATCACAATACCCATACCGGTACACTCCTGAGCTTGGGCTTTGTGGCAAGGCAAGTGTTCAACTCGCCCCATCGAAAGTGGTGGACCTCACTAGACCCAATGCTCCCCACTCGACTCACAGGCTCCACAGCAGGCCCCAGATACGCCGATGGTAAAGCAAATCGAACCATTGCCACGGCCCGTTAGACGCTCTCCTCACCAAACCTACTCGGGTCCGAGCGCGTTGATGCCATTGATGCTGTTCCGCGACCGGGAACCAGAACGGATGGCTTCGTAGCTGAGCTTACTCCTGCGCTAGGGTTGAAACAACGAGCAAGGATCAAGAACTCCGAAGCGACACACAGAAACGAGATGCACACTCAAGGAGGAAATAAAGAAAGTTCGATAGGGTGATGTAGCATAGTGCATTTTGGGAGAAACCAATTACAAAGGTACCGCATCAACTACAGCGCGCGGAAACCGCATCCAACCCGGATCTCCTCCCAACAGTCGCATTCCAAGATCTGCGATTGGTCTTCATGCTTGTTTCGTGTTTCTGTCGGTGAGTTCAAGCTGTTGTCATTGTCCTTGTTTCTCTGTTGTCTTTGTAGTTTCTTCTTTTACTCCTCGTTTGTGTCTGTGTACCTGCCTGTGTGATATGGTACTTTCCGTGACCGGTAGTGGTGCCTTCCTCGTGACGCTGCACTCAATCCACAAGCACTGCTTCAACCTGCTTGATTATTCGAATCCAGCGAAAGCTGGAGATTCTGCAAAACCGGCGTCACCGGTAGGCGCTCGTTCGCGTCAGAATAAGGCACACTTCGGCATAGTTGTGGGATGTTAGGACGAGTATCGGTTTCAGCGGAAGCAGTTCCCGAAAAACCCTGGTTCGGAACCACGGATTACATTTACTTTTAGGGGAACCGCCTGTTGCGCTTTGATCATTTCAGTGCGCCACATGCAACAAATCATGCAATGGCACACCGCCTCCAGCTCTCAGACAGTGAACGAAATCTGAGCTTCACGTCCAATATTTGTGGGTGGCGAGAGCGAGAATTGTCCGTCCTGTTCGGATGAACTTGCAAAAGCATGTTGACATGATTGACGGAACTTTTGACAATAGCAAGTAGACGTGGAAGGCACAAGCACACAGAACGGGTGTAGCAGTCTCCGGCAGTTGGAGAGCGATCGACTTTGGTGTGCACCTTGGCCCTGAATAGCTACATCGTGTCTTACTTGGCAGACTCCAGGTGCCAGCCGAAATTGCAATGCCTAGCACCCTGGCCCAGGCTAGCGGAGCGAAGTCAAACACTTAATTCTCAAATTTGCGCAAGCAATGCTCTTTGATAGCTCGGTTTAAGCTTTGATCTTGCCGCACCGATTTGGCAATGAATCTGATTGCGATGTGCAGGCCTGCTGGTATTGGGCCAGAAGGTACACTCTTGCATCTCCTGGCATCTCCATGACAGGGCTGGTACTATGCAGTGAGAACATTGCCACAGGCCAACTGTACCTACAACCCTTTGGCTAGCGAGGGAAAGTCGAACCACAAGCCAAACCAACAGCCCGCATGGCTCAGATCAGAGCAAAGACAGTCCTCCTTCTCCCTCGCAAGTTGCCTGAGCTGCACTTCGTCGCGCAAATCTCCACTCGAACAACCACGAAGTCACGGAGCGTCGTTTCAGCATCGTGAGATGCTATGAGCATCAGCGCCTACCTGCTCTTCACGACTGACTGAAGATAGTCCACAACAGGCTCAAGTATCAAGAAAACTGGTGAACGAAAGAGGAATGCAAGGGGAGGAGCCGGCTGGGTTGCGTTGGCCAAACTTGCAAAACTACCAACAACCTGCCTGAGTTCGACCCATTCTTGTTTGAATAACCAACACCAAAAACATGACAACTTTCTTAGCTTGCTCCAAGCAGCTCCACTTGGAACTCGTGTTGTCGTGACCGCCTCTCTCAGCAGACGTGCAGGGTCATCAGCATGAGTCCACAGGCTCACACAAGCTCCATCTTGGTTTCACATAGCTCTACCCCCACCTCTTCTGCAGCAGTTCCAGCTCCCTCTCCAAGTGGCTTCGGAGATCCTGATTGCACGTTATAGGCCGCTGAACGGTCGAGCCAAAACTCTGGACGGCTTCCAAGTCCTGAGGTCCTTTGTAGCTGGCCTGACATCGATTCGCGCACTTCTTGTTGGTATCAGGAGGCCAATACATGGACTGTGGGAGCTGGCACTGACTTCCTTCCCCAAACACTGTGGTACACACTGCATGGGTCTGAGGTTGGGAGTCAAAAGATCGGTTCGCGCGGCGCGCGAAGAAAAACGACCCCCTTCAGCCTGGAAACCCTGAATCGCAGCACCTCTTTGGGAAACGGATTTTGGACGCTCTCCTGAATCCCCTTCTTGCCGCTAGTTCATATAGCGGGAAGCTGAGCGACGCACTCCTGAAACATGCCACTATTTCGGGGATAGCATTGTGCCCGTCCTGAAGCGGGCCAGCACTGGGTGGAAAGAATTCTGGTCGTGCTTGGGGGAAGGCATTTTGGTGGTGGTCCTGCATGCACCAGTACTTGGCACGAGCATTGATTGCCGACAGTACTTGGGCGAAGCCGCATCGCCTTGCTCTTGAATCCAGCCAGTATTTGGGGGAAAGCGTGTCCTGGTCGTGTGCTGGCAGTCTCCTGGTGGTCTCCTGGTAGGACTGGGCTCTCTTCCTAAATGTCGTCGTGGCCCTAAGTACTGGTCGTGGGCATCAAAGTCGTGGTGGTCGTGGGGTTCTTTCACTGTTTGGGGATCTACGCTGGCAGACTAGTCTGATCCGATGCGGAGTCGATGCCTGCCAGCGTTCTTTCTCCAACCTCGGATGTGACACATCTGCTTCGACATTGACTGCACCAGGAATTCTGCACCTACCTGTGTCTAACATCCAACATCCAAGCCCTCCGTCCCGATCTCGATGCATCTCTTTACGTGGTAAGCTCCCTGGCTCTGCCTAGTGGTCCCCTGGCCTCCCTCCTCTCCTCTCCCTCCCCTCCCCTCCCCTCTCCCCCGCTCTCTCCGCGACTATCCCTCTTGCCCTTTCGCTCCGTCTCACGTGCGAAGCAGCAGCTGCCAGCGCATCTGCTCCTCAGCTTCGTTCCGCTGCTGCCGTCGCATCTGCTCACCCAGGCGGTCCTTTACGTCAACACTTTCAGAACCCCGTTTCTCCCGCCTCTCTATGAAAATTGGCAAAGTAAAGGTATCGTTCATGGAAGTTCTCAGGCTTACAGCAGGCCCGGCGCCTGGTGTCGCTCTCGACGCGCTGCCGCATCCTCGTAGAGTTCGTCATGTTTTGGTGACCGCGGCCTGCCAACAACTGAATAACATACTTCACGAAAGCGTCTCGAGCTGAGCCGAACCTGGACGGCGATCTGCAACTGGGCAGATTGGTCATCTTGCCCTGGCATGAGACGGGTACAGTGTGAATGTAGCATGATACAGTCTTCCACTAGGCTTCGCGGCACCTGGATGCAGAAGGGGCTGCTCCGAGAACTTGCAGCACACGGCAAAACGTCCTGATCAAGGCCAAAAGCATCCTTGCGGCGCGCGGTTTTCCGACAAAGCGCCCGACCTGTGAGTTGCTCAATTGCCCTGGAGGTGCACACACTGTCGATACAGGATCCCAGAGCGGAGCAGTCGCAACATCTGAGGTCGGTGTGCATGGGTCGCACAGCAGGGTGGGTGCCGATGCAATCATTGGGTTTTGTGCGGTGGTGCCAAGTGTTCCAACGGCTGAAAGGTTGGGTTCTGGGAACTTGATGGCAGGAGTTGCAGGATTTGTGCTGGGGGGTGCTGTGGCGGATGCCTCCGTTGCGGCAGCCAGATCTGGGTCGGGGAGGTCTGGGGCGGTCCGCGAGCGCGTCTCACAGCCTGGGCTTTGTCGCGGTGGCTGCTGCCACCGCAAGGAATTGCATGCTGGAGCTTCAAAAGCCCTGCGCGGCGACAGCGGGGAAGTTCTGTTGGGTGCAAGCTGCGGCGCTGCAGCCATCAACCTGGCAAGCTTGAATGAACCACAATCTGTTCAAGCCCTTGCAGCTCTTCTGCAACCAGACTTCCACAACAGTGATTGACCCGGTCGTGTATCAGTTTTGTCAGCTTTGAACACAGAGGAACATTACGCAACCCACCGGTCGTTGTGTGGAGCATTGGCTTGCTTGGCCTTGTCTGGGAAACTGGCTTCCTGTCGCATTTGTATCATAATGACCCCCCTGACCTCGCAAGAAACGGCCCCGAAGTTGCCGATGGCTTGCCGTTGGCATTGACTCCCTTTTGCCCCTCAAGCTTGGGGAGGCATCATTGACGTCCTCGCATTTGTTCGAATATCTCCTTTGAGCCTCCCCACCGTGATGGGGCAGAGGGGTCAGACGTGGTGGGCGTGGACGCTCTCAAACTCTGTTACAAGCAAGCACAGCATGAATGTGCACGACGGGTCTTTGACTGAATTTGGCTGTTGGAGCTTGGCCATCAAGATCATACTAAAGCTTCGCCGTCCCAAATGATGGATCGCATTTTAGCAAGGTCGGCAGCGCTTCGCGTTGGGATCTGAACGCATTGATCGGTATTCCTTCTCCTGGATATGGCGTCTTCGCGGAAAATTTGATTCCTCGCCCGCAGACATTACGAATTTTCGCCCGACTACTTGCGGCAACAGCAGTAGCAGTAGTAGTGTTGAAGAAATCGTAGCGATAGTGGCAGTGGTAGTGGTAGTGGTAGCCATGTCTTTAGTAGCTGGTATATAGTAGCATGCAGCAAGTAGACAGGATTTAGTAGGTATTACTTAGGACTTAGTGCGGAGTAGGCAATAAGTAGCAGGTAGCAGCAGCAGTCGTACAAGCAGTAGTAGTAGTAGTAGTAGTAGTAGTAGTAGCAGCAGCAGCAGCAGTAGAAATAGTAGTAGTAGGACTAGCAGCAGTAGTAATAGTAGTAGTAGCAGCAGCACTTGCACTTGCATACGCTGCTCCGTCCATGAGTCTGAAGCATAGGGAGGTAGGTAATTCTGCCCGGCAGCTACTAGCCGCTGCTACGTAGCAGCAGCAGGAAGAAGAGTAGTAGTCGTCGTCGTCCTAGTAGTCGTCGTCGTCGTCCTCGTAGTAGTAGTCGTCGTCGTCGCAGTAGTAGTAGTCGCCGTAGTAGTGGTAGTAGTAGTAGTCGTCGTCGTCGTAGGAGTAGCAGTAGCAGCAGTCGGTGGCATTGTGCAACCAGCCCAGGACAGGTATCGTCCGGGCCATCGAGAGGTTCGGCGCTTTCGTTGACGTGGGCGCCCAGCGCGATGGTTTAGTGCCCTGGCACTCAACATAAAGAGGCGAGCTTCTTCACTGCACAGTTCTTTGTTTCATGGACCTTCGCTGCAATAACGGAACATCCGATAGTGGGTCTGTGATCTTCGCAAAACTCGGAGAACTTCGGAGATGTGTGTTCTGGGCAATGGCGTAAGAGCGAAGACAGCCAAGACGATGTCTGTAAACCTGGAGCTTCTAGAGAAACCTCCCAGTTCTGGAGTCTTCTACGCAACCCCAAGCCCTCCAACGCCCCAAGCCCTGGAAGAATGATCCAACCAGTTATTTGGCCCTTTAAGGTTTTATAAGGCTTTGGAACCTAAAGTCGCAACCCGGGATGCCTAAGGTGCCGATACAACTGATATCGGAGAATTACGTCGCCGACGTCTACGAGGCTTTGGGTTCAGGGGCTCTGCTTGGTTTTGATGAGGCGTTTAGGACTGGGGGGTACTGTATGCAACTTGTGAATTCCCGTATATGGTTCTTACAGAGGTACCTATGCATCATAAACTCTATCATATACAAACCTTCATAACTAGATATTACTAGTATCCTAAAGCCGAGTCTTCATCCACTAGATATTACTAGTATCCTAAAGCCAAGTACCGAGCTGGGTACTTCAATTTTGGAGCCCTACCCCCCTGAACCCTAAACCCCTAAACCCTAAACCCTAACCCCTAAACCCTAAACCCCTAAACCTGCCCCTGTTGGACCTTCGCCTGGCAAGTCCAAGTTGTGAGAGCGTAAACCCCAAAGCCTAAAGCTGGTTTGGGGTTTAGGGGTTTAGGGCTTGGGGTTTAGGGTTTATAGGGTTTAGGGGTTTAGGGTCTAGAGTGTTGGGTTCAGGACTGCTAAAGTGCTAAAGCTTCGACCGTAAGGCCCGTCCAAAGCTCTAACAAGCACCAGGAGATCATGCCCGGTCAGAAAGTCACGGTGTGGGTGGAGGAGGTGCTTCCTTGGGGGCCCTAGGGCCTAGCCTAGCAAACACACACACACACACACA